GGAGTGGTACTTCTTTAACAGTTCAAGGAGTATTATTGTTGGAAGGGTGCTAGGAATAGAGGTGTGGTATACATTCAGGAACTGAGTCACTTTGCTGAGCGAGAGTGTGTCTGATTCGCGAAAAAAAAAAGAGGGCAATTTTGCTGGAAACCTGTCAAGGAAATTCGATTCCTATTTTAGGGGAGAAAAGAATGTTTATTCAATCATGTGAGTGAAAAGTGAGTTTATTTTTTATCGTTTCCCCATTTTTTGTAATTTCTTTTTTATTCTAAAATTTTATTGACTCTTTTGTAAAAAGGAGGTTTTAGGGAATCTCAGAACTACAGATTTTTATCAGTAATCAAACGCTAACTCCCTAGGATTAGTTCCTTTGAATTAATGTTAGGGAGCTAGCGTTTGATTAAAACGATTTCTCCGATCTCACTGCTCGTTCAATTCTTTCCGCCCTTCGCTCCATCCTCGCTAACCATCCTTGATTCACTCCGCTTTCCCGATCTTTTCATCAAGGTTATTGTTAGGGACGGTCAGTCATAAAAGAAAAGAAGTAGTCCCGTTAAGTGAGCGAACGGTTCTGATCCGATCCATAAATCGCGGTTTTGCTTATCTCTAATACCTATGACAAAAATGAAGGAGCAACGTTTCCGTGCCATTCAAAGATCTTTTCTCCTCATCACAACTAAATCTTTCCGCAAAACTTCTACAGTGTAAGCACTCTTCGGAATATCTTTAATATATGTCTGCTATCGCAGCTAGACACGTTTAAAACCAAAACATTAAAACTCAAGTTTTGTTTTGCTTGGTTTATTTAATTTCGGCAAAGCACACGAGGGCTATATGCCTAAGAGGATGGATATCTTAGTGGAGGACTTTCTAAGAGAAACTGGCTCGTATCCACGTTACACATGGGAAACGAAAACGCCCATGCAGCCAGCCCGTTTGCTGGAGAACCGAACTACCAGTGTTCAACTACACTCATGTCCAAAATTATCTTTACATACCCAAAAATGACGATATTCAATGAAATATCGAATCAATGTGATCCGTATTTGCAGGGAATGTGTGAAAACCAAGCCTAATTAGCATTATCCAATCAAAAGTAATCAAACGGTTTGTGATATTCAAATCTAGGCGTTACGTCATCCAAGGGTGAATCAAGCGCTTTGCGCAAACTGAATATTTGAGTGAATTTCTGCAACATAGCGTTTGATTTCAGTGTGTAGGGACTCAAAGCGGTTTGTTATGGCTTCGAAGTATCATTTGGAAGAATCTGTAAAGTGGCGAATTATCGGCCGTTTAGAAGCAGGGCAGTCAATCATGGAAACAACCACATGTCTGAATATTTCAAGACAGACAGTCTCTAAGCTATGGAAAGAGTTTCAAAATGACGGAAGTGTTGTAAGGAGGCCTGGACAAGGTCGGAAACGAATGACAACTGCTTCTGAAGATCGGTATCTGGCATTAACTGCCCGTCGTAACAGAAAGGCTACTGCTCGCCAGTAAGTTCAGAGCTTGCAGCCGCCACTGGAACTGTTGCATCACGGCTTATATACTGAAGGCTTAATGAAAAAGGCTTTTATCCCAGAAAGCCAAGGGTATGTGTTTTACTGTATTCACAGAAAAAGAGGGATCGCTTTAATTGGTGTAAAGAACATCAAAACTGGACTGAATATCAATGGTCCCATGTTCTCTTTACTGATGAGTCGCGGTTTAGTTTAAATGATGATTCTAAACGTGTTTACGGAGGGAGTCAGGAACACGAAATGATCCCTCGAACATTGTGGAACGTGACCGTTTCGGTAGTGGAGGTGTGATGGTATGGGGTGGAATAATGATCGATGGACGTACGCCCCTACACCTGTTCAGCAGCGGATCTGTGACAGGCCAGATATATCGGAATGAGGTCTTAGATCCTTATGTAAGACTTTTCAGGGGTGCATATGGACCTGACTTTTTATTTATGGATGATAATGCCCGTCTACATCGAGCAAATCTCGTTGATGAATTCCTTGAAAGTGAAGACATTAAGCGAATACCTTGGCCACCAAACTCTCCTGACCTTAACCCGATAGAGAACTTATGGGACTACCTTGGAAGAGCAATTGCACGTATACATCCTCCTCCTAGAGATGTAAATGCTCTGAAGACGGCATTGCTGGAAGAGTGGAGATTAATTCCCCAAACTGTGGTTAACAACGTTATTTCCAGCCTTAAAACACGTTGTGATATGTGTGTACAAGTCAGGGGAGATCATATTCTATATTAAATTCGTAAGACTTAATTCTTTTTCTGAATCATTCCTTTTTTTTTTTCTTAACTCTATTTGTCACACTTTATTACCATTTTTATTGTTTCATGCTACAATTTTATATCATATGAGGTGATCTTCAATTGTTTCTTTTGCATTTATGTGTCATCATGTTATGTATGATTCCACGAAAATTCATTAAATTATAAGTCATAGTCTCTGAGAAATCCGTGAATTTATGCATGTAAACATAATTTTGGACATGAGTGTACTTTACGTCTCGGCCGCTGGTGAGCTTTACAGCTCAAGTATTAAGCATCTTTTACGGACTAACATAGAATATGAGTAACTTTGAATTCCCATTATCTCCATAGTCTAGACATCTTGCAAATTATTCTAACATCAAAATCTACTTTAAATAACCTATAAATACCAATACATACCCCATAGCATGTACAGAGGGATATAAAATAGATCAAAAAGTGATATCAGCCTGTATTTTCCATACAGCCGAAAATCCAAAAATACTTTGGAATGGACTCTTGTGCTAATAAAATTAAAGCTTTTCAAGCGGAAATTTTAGCTATTAAAAAGGTAATAGAAACTGCAATGAAGAATGAATTAGATTCTCAATCTAAGTAGATTATCTTTCTTAACTCTATCGAATAGTGAACTTTAAGCAAAAGAAATCTTTCCTCTTGATATTTATTTTCAAGAAAATAACCAAATTAAAATTTCGCTTCTTTGCACACGTTGAGAATACCGAAAACGAAGACCCCGACTCCCTTTGCTAATGACACAGCTACTACACCCGATTCCGATGTTAATAAACGTAAAATGACCAAAGTCATATTTTAAAAACGATGCACACAAGAAAATAAATCAAATTTGGCAAAATGAATGGAATTCTCTTACCCAAGGCAATAATATACTAAAATGTAATTTTCAATCTACCAAATTTGGGAGTACGTTACACAAGGGAATACCACCAAAGATTTCAGTACCGATTTCCTCTTCTAGATTTATAGCAGAAATCATGCTTTGTAATTGGTCAGAATATTTGGCTAATCTTTGGAATATGGTAACAGGTAGTTTGGCGACATTTTGGTAAGGCGATAAAGGTTACTAGCTAGGACTTTAGCAGTGCACATGGATAAGTCAAGAGTGTGCGCAGTGCCATTTTTGTGCAATTCTGGGATGTTTTTTTAAGCGAAAATAGGTCGACGTGTACATAGATGATACCGTGTATGCGCAATTCTTAAAAACGCGGCAAGCAATGGGCGATTCTGCACTTTCTCCCAATTTCGCACCTAATCTTCGTCATGATTAAGCATTTTTGTTGCATAAAAGTTCTAGTATAAGCGTAATTCGGCTAGCAGATTGTTGGAAAAAATGTTGAGTAAAATAAAAATAAAATTAAAAAAAAAAAAAAAAATCTGAAATTATTTTTCAGATTTTAAATTACGTCCAAAGGGGCGTTTTTTTAACGTTTTGAGTGTTACCTTTATTTATTAAATATCATGTTCTTTGCACTTAAACCATAAAATTCAGTTCAAGAGCAATGTCGCAAAAATAATGTTTAAATTAAGAGCATATCTTTAGAATTTCCGATAGACAGTCTCGCGAGCTGGAGATAAAAGTATTTTTTTTCTATATAAACGTTGCCATTGCTCGCTTTTGAAAGCATCCTTGAGTTTGTAAATCAAAAATTCGTTAAAGTTTTACAAAAAATAAAAATCTATAATAAAACAAATTCCAAATTTGGGATTTCCAGATGCCCGTACATTCGCAGTAGGATTTCGTCATTCAAAATTCGATGGCTCTATGTACCATTGTTTTATCACAATGCGAGAAATAGACAATCATTTATGCAGATTTTTCATTATTTAATTTCTTCAAATATAATGCAGGACTCTAACATTTTGTGGCAACAGTTTGAAAAGTGAACCGACGTTTATGAGTCCGACGCAAAATGCCAAAACGAAAGCAATAGTCCTTCGGGACTGAAATCCCTTTGGACTAAAAAATAAAACACGCCTTTACTTCGTGAAAACAAAATGGCGTCCAAAACAAAACTAGCAGGTTGCTGTAACAGGGTTGGTCGCCAAATTTTCGCCAAAAAGTCGCCAAGTTATCATAACCCGAAGATTAACCGAATATTTTAGTTATTCAATATTTTGATTCTCAGAAATACAGTTTTCTTAACAAGTACCGAGTATAATAACTAATACAGACTTCTAATCTCATGCATTTCGAATTAATTTTCGAATTAATGCGAATTGATTTATGGCTTTAGTGTAGAATTGGGTGCCCCTTCTATTAGCGACAAATTTTGTTTAGTTTTGGCGATGAAACCCCATTTATAGTTACCATGATAGTTTTAACTTTTTTTTTTTTTTTTAAGTGAAAATAGATCGATGTGTACATGGACAAAGTTAAGGCAGTGCGCAGTGCTTAGTTCGTGTAATTCTCTGATGTTTTTTTAAGTGAAACTATATTAGTGTGTATATGGATACCGAGTTTATGTAGTTCTTTGATTTCTTATTTTGGTTTTGTGTAGCGGCCATCTTGAAATTGTGCCTTCCTGGCGCCGATCTTGGCATAACAAAAGAATCCCCCCCCCAAAAAAAAAACAAGGGGCACCCAATTGTAGGAGCATCCAATTGTAAAATTTTGCCTGATTTATTAAACGTAGTCTTTATTACATTACCTAACAGGCATAATATATCATTTTTTAAAAACACCTTAAACTGACCTCCCAAGGCTTCTGGCTTCATTGGTTCTGGACGCCTTTTATGCTTTGGTAGAAGATCGTTCTGCGCTTTCCATTTCTCGAGACATTTCGGCTCATGAATCTTCAGTGATTTACTACCATAAAGTTGACCACATATATAGCATATCTTCAAATGCCTTGGAAATCCGGAGCTACTAGGTCTCTCTCTCTTGGTCGTCTCTTCTTTACTCCAGTCGGGAAACTCATTTTTGCTGAGATCCGTATGATATTTTCGTATGTGCCTCCTCAGCGGGCCTGGTTGGAATCTTTTCCCACAAAATTCGCAAGTGACAGGGTAATGCCTATACTTTTTGGTAGGAGGAAAGAGATTTTTGTTTTTCTTGTTAGCAATCCTTTTATTTCGCTGTTCTAAGAGAAAGCGTTGATGGGATGATTGTTTTGAGATTTGTTGCTGGGAGGGAGCAATTTCCTTTTCGTTTTTTGGTGAGGGAAAGGGTTGATTTCCTATGTCAAGTGATTGATTAGTCGGAATATTTGATTGCTGTTTACTTCTTCCGAATCTTTTAAGTTCTTCTTGTCCATCAGATTCCATTTTCTCTTGAAACGGAACAGCTATTGCAGCAGGAGTTTCTGGTGGATTGCCCGGATACTCTTCTGGTTGAGAATTTTGCATTTCATTACTGTTAACTGCGTCATTTGCATCGCACTGCTGGATGGACTTCTCTGCGATAAAACTTGTTCTATTTTCTGGATCTAACACATTTCTTTCAGTGACACCACTATCCTGTTGCTGTTCCTGTAAACAGTGTAGCTCATGATTTGCTATGAGACCACTCTGCATTCGAATGCCACATATTCTACAGAACATATAGTGTAATGGGGCCTCCATAATGTGACCATGTACTCTAAATCCATCTAAGCTGAATGCCTAAACATTTTCCAAATTTTGAGAAAGGAATATTTTGATCTATTTTATATATAGACTAAGCAGTCTGTGGGAAAAAGTTTTAGCCTGATAATACTTTTAAATTTTAGGCATGAATCTGTTTGACTGATCTGGAGAGTTTTCATAAAACATCTCGAGCCAATCAAACACAGATTTTTGAATTTTTGAGGCACGATCGGTAGCAACAAAAAATTAATTAGAAGTTAACATTATTATAGTTTGAGAAATAGTTTTATGTTGCCAAAAAATATGGAATAAATATGATTAAAGTGCATTGCTGAGTTTTAATGCAAAAACTTTTATAGCTATAATATTCATCTTTGTGAAATTCATAATTTCTTTCCTGATAAAATTTTAAATTCTCAAAACATTCACAAACCTTTAAAATAATGTAACAGTTATTTTTATTGCAGATTAATTAAAATTTATTGTTTAGGTAAAAACACATTTGCTCGTATTTTTGATTTAAATTTTAACATAAAATCTTCAGACCATACGTCAAATTTTCATACTACTTTATGGAAATTATACTAACTTCTGATGATGCTAAATATCTATAATTCATCAACTAGAAGAAATTCTTCTGAAAATTCTATTGACTTAATAAATAAATATTTTTTGGCAATAAAGTGTGCTTGGTATCACTATCTAAAAATTCATAAATGAAATCTGGAAATGAAATAAATTTTTAATATCTTCTTTTCCCAAATCAGAGGATATATTGAAGTACACTTATTTTTAATATTTTGAAATCAATAAAACACATTGTTCTGTTTAATTCTCATTGGTTAAATATAGTCTGTTCTTATCTTAGATATTCAACTTACTAAATTTTTAGAAGTAAAAATTGATTACTAAAAGTCCTTTATGAAAATTATTCGAACTTTTATGAATATTCAGAGAAGCAGTTTTTGTGTAAGAAACACATACTCTACTTACAGTGCTTAAATTCAGACACAGCCCAGCTTTATTACTTCTTATTTTCAGAGAGCGATCATAATTCAATTTAGAATTCCGAATGAAATGAGTTTTAGCAGTTAGTTGTGAAACTGAAACGTGTTAACAAAACATTCTAGCATCCATGCAACACTTCTCTTAACAATTAGTAAAACTGGCATTTACACACTTACGTCTTGCTTTTCTTGGGAAGAACAAAAGATGCAGCCTTTCATTTTTTGGACAATGCGTTCTGGTAAGAAATCTTGAAAACATAAAAAAAGGAAGTTATGATGTCGAAACGAGATCTGTTCAACAAATGGAACTCTTACTGCATTGTACTCATCTTATAAACAAGGCTCAAGGCTTTAAATTAGATCAGAAACCAAAACAAGCAAACAGTTTTATAAATTGCAAAGACTATTATTAAAAATATTTACCTTTCTCCAAAATATTATGCATTGTTATCGCTAATTTACTCTTGTTTCATTTATTATAATAATACCTTAATTATGACATATCTAATTTAATTTAATTTGATATTTATCATTATCTTAGCTTAATTTATTAATATTTTTATTTAATTATTTAATAACCATTAATATTATTTTCCCTATGTGTAACATGTATAAGAGCCAGTTTCACTTAGAAGGTTTTCCACGACGGCATCCCTTTCCTTAGATAGCTTTCTAGTGCTTTGCCATAATTAAAATAAACCAAGCCATTCTTCAAATAATTGCAACAGAATGCTGCTGCCCAGAGGGAATAGTGATCAATGATACTGACAGCCGTATCGAATCGAATCTCGAAGAAGGTGTGGAAGTTTGTAAGCGTATATTGTCTGCGCGGCAGGGGGACACTCAAAACACACGGCGACTGATGAGTCCTCTCGAGATTTTGGTAAAGGATGATGTCTGGAAGACCCATGTACCGCCCCCGGGTAGTTCGTCTTTAAAATTTGGGCAGAAGCTTAACATCAGCAAGGCACGACGATACTAATATATACTCTAAGAGAATGCACAAGTGCTTGGCTTTCTTAATCCTGTATTTGTACCTGCAATGAAATGCTGTCGTCCTAATCGGTAGTGTGATTAGCGACGCAGGTTGCCATACCGATGGCCCCGAATTCGAATCCCGGGGAAAGCATGAATGTTTGTAACCGTAATAGTATCTGTACGCCATAGGATCAGTAAAAAAATACTGGCGAGTTGAAGGCATTCTCGAGTGGTTTGGTAATAGGGCAAGATGAATGGAAACCTCTTGGACCGTCATTTGGAATGCTATTCATCAAAACTGGAGAAGAGTTGCAAATTTAAGTGCGGTGGGAGTATATCTGTACGACCGACTTGTGAAATTCTGGTGTCTCGCCCACTTTTACTTGTACCTGTAACCGAATGGTTACTTTTGTTTCTTATAATGTCCTGGCAATCCCGTTTTCTTGCGTGAAATTTTGTAATGACGATTCTAAAGTTTTTCCCTGAACGAAAGTTCTTATAATCCCATTTGAACCAGCGGCAAATGATGTTCCCAAACACATATTTATAGAATTAATTAAGCATTTTACAGTAAAAATTGTTAAGCATGCATCTTCATAATTATTACGATTAATACCTTCGTAACCGCATTCCTTAAACTCAGAAAATCGGTATATATTTCAAAGTGCCAGGATGCCAGAACCATTAACCGTAACTTAAAATTATAATTTTTATAATTAAGGACAAGATTAAGAGATCTAGACTTACATATATGTAAAATTAAGGCTACGTAAAATTCTAATTTTAATTTACCATAGGCCTTTTTTATAATTTGATTATTTTCCATTTTTATTCTAAACAGAGTAATATGCTTTAATTAATCTATCTAAAGCTCATCATTTCAATATTAACCTCTCTCATATGATTCCTATATAAATGCTAAATACGGATATACACTCACTTCCAAAAGTTAAAACACGGAGAGGAAAATGCTAATTACCGGAAGCCAACCAGAATTGAAGAGTATGCAATTCGCTGCAGAGGTAGATGGAAGTATGCAAATATGTTAGGTAACAGCCAATTGCGCTTTCATGTCAAGAAATATGCAAAAAAAGACAGTCTTACAAGAAGACAGCTTTATGAAGGGTTACAGAAGTTGACTGTAAGTGCTGATAGAAGGTGTTTAAAACTTTCGTACAATTTGTTTTCAAGACATACGTGTTTCTATGACTTCCAGAAGACGAATGGAAGATTCTGAGCGCTGGCGTGCTGTGGGGCGCATTGAAGCAGAACAGTCGATCACAGATGTTGCTCTTTTATTCGGCGTTCATCATTCTGTAATTTCACGTTTATGGAAAAATTTCAAACCGCACAGACAGTTGTCTGAAGGCCCGTATCCGGTCGCCCAAGGGTTACAACCCCCGCGGAAGATCGATATATTGCTATTGGAGCCAAGCGGAATCGCAGAGCGACTCCACACGTGTGACATCTATGGTTACAGCGTCCATTGGTAAGGCGATATCTGCAGCTACTGTACGCCGAAGGTTACATATGAGTTGACTGTACGCCCGGGTACCTCGAGTTTGTGTTCCTCTATCTGTCCAATCAAGAGGAGCACGATTACAGTGGGGCCGGGAATATGTCTGACTGGGACAATGTCATGTTTACTGATGAGTCAAGATTTTCTCTGGAGCCAGATGACAAGCGTATAAGGATATGGCGAGAACAACGAACACGCAATCAGTCCCAAAACATCACGCATTCCGAGGCGGAAGCATTATGGTGTGGACAGGGATTTCATTAGGATACCGCACCGACATGCACATCTTTAAACAGGGTTCTTTGACGGCTGTCCGGTATCGAGATGTAGTCCTAGAACCCATTGCGAGATTGTCCGCTGCAGCAGTTGGCCCTACTTTTGTTTCAATGGACGATAACGCACGTCCCCATACAGTTGACATCGTCGATGACTACCTGGGGAGTGAAGGGATTGCGCGTATGGCGTGGCCAGCATATTCGCCGACCTTGATCCCATTGAAAATCTTTGGGATGCTCTCGGGCCGTCTGTATCTTCATGTTTCCCACTTCCAGCCACTCTTATTGAAGTGGAAACTGCTCTACAAGAAGAATGGCGATTGTTTAATTCTGCGGTGGTTGACCACGTAATTTAAAGCATAGTCACAAGGTGTAAACTTTGTATACAGATGAGGGGTGATCACATAACCCTATTAATGTCCTTTTTTTCCCTTTTATGCTGTTTATTTTCACTTTATACATAATTCTGTTTAAGACTCCAGTATGTCATTATCTGAAAACTTAGAAAATTTTAATATTGTTTTCATTTCTGTATATAATTATTGATTTTGTTTTATGCATAAATATATATGCTACTTTCCTGCCGAATTTTGTGTCAGTCAAAGCAGTATTTGTTGATTTTTGCATTTTACATCTTCGTGCTTAACTTTTGGAAGTGAGTGTATTTACACAATGGCAAACGTAAAGATGAAATCTTTTATGTAATAGTCAAGAAAATTTTGCAAACCAAAACATTTAACCAACCAGTAAAAAGAAAGCGGAACCATACCTCACCATTTAAATCTGTTGTTGCTATTTTAATAATTCCATTCTTCTCACACCTGTATGTGCAGCTAAGATGTTGTCTGCAGCTTCTGTTTTGTCCTAAATTTCAATTCTGTGAATATGTAAAATTATAATTATGGAATACAGGGCACGCGTCTTGAGGCAGTTTACTCTGCATATTTTATGAATTTTACCCCATGAATAAAGAGATATTCAAATGCCCGTGACTGTCTTCACTATATAACATTCGAATTTCATAATCATCATCTAGAGCGACTTCAAAATTTTTCATTTACCAAATTTCTGACGTATTTCCCCTAGAATTTTAGCGCCAGTTTCTGAAAATTTTTTTAAATATTCGTGTGATTTTTCATTGCGTTCACAGAACGAGTTTCCCTAAATTTAAAAATGGATTCGTCCATGTAGTGATCGTTTTCGGATTACTACGAAAGTCAAACCCTCGCAAACTACCTGCGAAGGTCCGCAGAAATTTTCCCATCTAACCGTTGAACTTTATGCCAGCCTAATACAAGAACCGACCTATTATGGCCAAGCAAACATGAACAGACTT